TAGCGCATTCTGTGCGCCCAGCGTTGCCCTAGCATCCAAACTAGACAGACAGTACTGGACAACATAGACCAGCATCTTTCAAGAAAATAAATACAAAATTCATCCACAACATGTTAGTAAATTGAATCCAACCGTGTACAAAAAGAACTGTACAACAAGAGTAAGTGGGAATTATTTCAGAAACATAAGTCTGTTTCAACATTTGAAAATCAACCAGTGTCATCCACCACATGGACAGGAGAAAAGAGAAAAATCACAGGATCATAACAATAGATGCAGAAAAGTCATTTGACAAAATCCAGCATCCATTCATAATAAAACATTCAGCAAGCTAGGAACAGAGGGGACGGCCTCAACTTAATGAGGGATACGAGCAGGAAACTCACAGCTAGCATCGGACTGGGTGGGTAGAACCAACAGCTTTCCCACTAAGATCCGAAACAAGGCAAGAGCCTCCAGTCAAGACTCCCTTCCAACATCATACTGGAAGTCCTAACCAACAGGATATGACAAGAAAAAATGAACTGATAAAAGGTGTACATACTGGGATGGAAGCCATAAAGCCGTCTGTGTTCACAGATCACATGACTGACTTTGAGGGAAGTTTGAAAGAATAGACCAAAAATCTCCTGGAACTTATTAATAAGCGATCTTTGCCAGATTGCAGGATACAGAGTTAGTGTACAAAAGCTCACCATTTCCTTATACATATAAACAAATGGAAGTTGAAATTTGAAACATTGACATTTACATCGTGGTGCCTATAAAATGAAACCCTTGTATATAACATAAATGTAACAAACACGCCCTGTGACCAACAGCCAGGATTTCAATGTTCCCCTGAATGAGTGGAAAACGTGCTCACAAAACCTGGGCAAGGGTATCTGTGCTCCCTTTGTGCCAACCCCAGGAACTACCAAGATGCCCCTCACTCGGTGATGGGTAAGTGATCTGGGTGCATCCCCACAACAGAACACTCGGTGCCAAAAGATGGGCTATCACCACAAAATCAGAAGAAATTTAAATGCATGCCACCAAGGGTCATGGTCGGGATGTCCCCTAAAAGTTCCTGTTAGTGCAGGAATAGGCCAGTGACAGGATGGGACTGGGAGAGCTGTGACTTGATGGGTCCACTCTAGTTTGAGTGGATTCACTGGGCAGCCACTGTGGGCTGGTGGGGGAGGCCGAGGAGGTGGTCCCCGGGAGGGTTTCCTGGGAGTGCATCTCCCCTGCCTCCCCTCCCTGTCTGCTCCTGCCCCACCAGGACCTGAGCAGCTTCCCTCACCAGGCCTTTCCCAGGACCTGCTGCCTCACTGGGCCCAGAGCCATGGAGTTGCCGTCTGTGGACTGACCTCTGATGGGCATTTTGGTCCCAACAGTGCAGAAGCGGACTGACGCACTAAGTGCAAGTGGCCACGCTGGCAGCTAGCCACGTGCTGTACAGTCCGGCCCATGACACTCTGGGAAAAGTGAAGCTGTGGGGACAGTAACAGGATCCGCGTCATCAAGGGTCAGCGGGGAGCTAGGGATGAGCAGGGGACCACAGAGGAGGGACAGTAACCGATTCTGCACAACTCCATGATGGTGGGCGCATGCCGTCACACCTTTGCCAACACCCGAATACACAACCCAAGAGTGAGCCCTGACATACCTCATGGCTGGGCCATGACACTGTCTCAGTGCAGATGCTCGAGTGGAACAGTGTGGGGGGTTGGCAGGGGGAGGCCGAGTCTACAGGGCCAAGGGTACCCTGGCTGTCACCTTCCACTGCTGTGAATGCTGCCGCTGGCACGAGATCAACTATGTTCCCGACACTAAGAGCTGATGTCCACGAGGAGTGGCTTTATGACCACATTGTGGGCGGGGCTCTGGTAGTAATCACTGCCAGCAGGCGTTGACCCCTTACCAAGAGCCAGGCTGGACCACATGAAGTGCCCATACCTCTCTGCTCTTCTCCACAGTGGTGCAAGATAGAGCTTGCTTCCCTCCCTTCTCAAATGAAAAGCACACTAAAGGGTGCTCAAGGTCAGTGCTCCCAATGCCTGGGCTGAGACTCAATACCACCCTGCCCTGCACAGAGGACCCCCAGGAACTGAGCTGTGGCAAGGGGCCAGAACAGCAGTAGTCTGTTTCCTCCTCCTCTCCTTCCCTCCCCTCCTCCTCCCTCCTCCTTCTCTCCCTCCTCCCTTCCTCCTCTCCCTCCCTCCCTTCCTCCTCCCTCCCTCCCTTTCCCATCTCCCTCCCTC